GTACATTAGCAGCAGTATGTTTACATCTGTACATTAGCAGCAGTATGTTTACATCTGTACAAGAGCTACATGAGGCTCTGGGACATAGTGAATCAGTGTCCCAAACAGTGTTGTGCCAGTTCACAGATTTTCTGAACTACAGTATATAGCGTTATATATCTCCTGTACACCGCTCAGGATGAGAGCCTTTTGACTCCAAAACAGACAAGATTTACATGGTTTTCAATGGGAGCAAAACTGAGTTGTCCCATCTCTGCTCATAAGTACTACAAACAGTAATGCACTGCAGTATGTGTGTCTATACTTTATGTTGAATGTAAACGGTTGTCCCTGTGTTGCTAACTCACCCTTTGTTTTCATCACGACTCAGGCACATGTGAGTCCAACAACCCATGAAGCACTAGCATACAGCCCGCACCGGCTCAGCACGGAGTCGGGGGGCGTTCACAGACGGTGGAAACCGTGGGAATTTTAAACTTTTGGCGTAACAAGTGCAGAGAATACAGGAGGGAGGAACTTTATCTTGTTGCGTTTCAAAAGAGAAAACAGATAACTCGGTTTTCAACGGAAAACAAATTCCAACGTTCATTTACAGTGATGTCTGCCGTTCATTACACATAATGTGAACTAATTCACGTTCAAGTTCTTTATTAAAAAATGTGTTGCGTTCAGTTCAACGTTCACAAAAAATTGAACGCTTTCTTTTGAACTAGTTCACGCACAACACTGGTCCCAGAGCCTCAGTGAAGCGACAGTGACATGTGGCTATTTCACATTCTGATATTAGTTAAGGATTTTGCACCGACGCATGACACATGGGATCAGGTTGACAGTGTTCATTAGTCCTGTTTGTTGTACAGTCTGACAGCAGCAGGAAGGAAAGACCTTCGGAACCTCTCCTTCACACAGCGAGGGTGAATAAGTCTGTAACTGAAGCAGACAATGTCCTGCAGGGGGGACAGTCATGGGGACAGTAGGTCCAAATTACTGTTTTACTTGTGTGTGTGTGTGTGTGTGTGTGTGTGTGTCAGAGAGTGTGCATGGGAGCGTGTGTGTGTTTGTCTGTGGTTTGGGATGGGTCTGTTGGGTGGTCGGGGGGAGGGGACATGGGCCGGCGGGACTGTTTTTAACCAAACTGTAAAGCACTTTGTGTTGCATCTTTTGTATGAAAAGCGCTTCATAAATAAAATTTGATTTGATTTGATAGATGTTAATTTGTCCAGGACCTTCCTGTCCCCCACCTGCTGCACTGTGTCCAGGGAACGGCCCAGGACTGAGCTGGACTTCCTGCTTCGTTATTTGTGGATTTGTCATGATCCTGTGTGTCAAGGGAAAGCTTAAAGGCGCTATACCCGTTGCTGCAATGTTTGAATGTTTAGCACCGCCCCCCAACTTGCTCAATGGCTTCTCATTTCCCCTACGCTCTCATAACACAGAGCCACCTAGTTTTATTTGCGATCTGATACATATGCTAACATTAGCATTAGCGCAACTTCTTGTAAGCTGTACAACAATCACCGATGAAATGGCACTAAAGCAACGCACTGCTAACACAATATATAAGTAAAAGAATACCGCTAGTTTCGCGTCCGAATGTATTAATTTAAAACCTTAGAATATATTCTAATATTTAATTATAATGTGTTATAGAGCTCCTCAAAGCAGCAGCAGCAATTCTTCCGATCATTTTTTCTTGATAACAGAACTCTCAAACCAATAATGACCGAAGCCCCAATGCAACCTCTGTTTGTAATTCAGGTGTGTAAAATACTGCCATTACTCTGCAAGAACAAGCTTTCAGCGCCTGTCACTATACACTTGTCTGTGTAGAGAAGCCAACGGAGCTAGCCACGCTCAATAAACAACTACATATCTATCAATCAACACCATTAAACGTCAATCGGACAATACAGTACACATATACATCCTTAACACACATGCACGGATGATTTCTGAATTTGCTGTTAACGTTTTCATGACAAAAATACTGTTTCAATGTGACAAAAAGCGATTGCGAAAAACCCGGAAGTTACCATGAAACAACTAGCTAGCTTAGCTGTTACCTGCCTAGCACGTCCCGGTGAAACCTTTGGGAGCTAACTATTTTATTTGCAGTCATTAAATACATTTCGAATTACAAGGGTTGTCTAAGATTTGTTCACATTTTTTATTTTAGAATTATATTCGAATTTTGAAGTCGAAGCCCTGGTGTTCCGCAGCGCTGTAGGGGCTAGAGGACGCAGGCTGGTCACTGCTCGTTCTGTGAGTGGAGGAGAAAGAGCGGCCCGCTCAGACTCTACTCAGCACTTTTCACTGCTTGTAATTCTTACACAGCTGAATCAATTACCTCAAGTTTTCAATTAAATGATGTATTATGATACAACTTGTATGTAGTAAAAAGCATTTTTATGAACTACTTAGAAAAAAAATCGGGTATAGCTTCTTTAAGCAATAGATTGCTACAAATAGATGATTGATTTTATATCAAAGCCTTTGGATATTTGGGTCTTGGCACAGAATCAAAGACAACAAGGTCTTTGACAGATAGGTGCAATCTTTTATTTTTGTATTTTATTAATCCCCAGAGGGCAATTCTATCCTCTGCATTTGACCCATCCTGATGCCGCAAAGGCTTACGTCAGGAGCAGTGGTCGCCGTAGTAACAGCACCCATCTCCAGATGTTGATGCTCAGCTTGGTCAGGACTACCAGAGCTGGAGGATTTAACCTAGTGAGCATGTTTTTAGTGGTAGGGGAAACCGGAGTACCCGGAGGAAACCTACAGTAGGTCCAAATTTCGTTTTGTTGCCTTTCACGCGTGAATAGCACGAGACTCACGTGTGAAACACGCGTCTTTTATTATTTTTTTCCCCAGTGATGCTGCAATGACCCAAAAAACCACCAGGTGGAGCAGTGCCACCTTGAGCTTTATGACACCCAGTCATAAAGCTCAAGTCTTTGGCGCAGGAGGACCTGGGTTTGAGTACAAGTTAAAGACTTTTGATACAACTCCACAATCAGCACCAAGTTATGAAGATAAAATTATTCCACTTTTGTACTGGCTTTTTATCTTTGCAGGGTTAGGAACATTGTCGGAAAATCTTCTGCTTTTAACCTCTTAACTCCCACCTGAAACCGAGCACGTTTTCTCCTGTGTTAAAAAAAAAAAAAACTTAGTAATTAGGCCAACACATTTAAAATAGTTGCTAGACTGTAGTAAACTGTTGTAAACTTCACAATCTGCACCAACCAAACTGCAGGAAAAAAATTCAACTTTATTCAGTAACGGAGTAATCTGATTCATATACTCCCCCCGCTAATAAAATTTGAGGTGTGGCCGGGGCTCGAACCCCGATCATCCAAGCGAAAGTCTTGGACAATCCTGCTACGCCACACAGGCGCTGGAGAAAACACTGGATCTAATAGGAGAGAGCGCTGAGTGAATGAGCCGTGCGTATGTGCGGGACGCTTAAAATGCCTTGTATGCAAGTTAATGCAAATGTTTGCCATATGATCTCCTACTCCTTTGCATTCGCGTTTTAGAATTCCTAATTAATGGTAGATTGATTGAATGAATGAATTAATTCATATATATTATGCAGCGGTGGCTCTCATGAATGAAGCGTCTGCAGCGTCTTGGACGCAGCCTGGCTCGGGGTAGAAGTGCGCATTGAAGTGCTGTACACTTCAGAGAGCGTTTGCGGTCCAGATTTCACAAAGAAAATCTGGAGCCAAAACTTCTGCACATGTGGCGCGACCTCTCACGGCACTCGCTGCGCACTCTGGACAGGGCAGTGAGACATTTGTGAGTGAGCAATACCATCGATGCGTTATTGGGGTGTGTGTCTGTGTGAGGGTTACACAAATCTAATGAAATAACACATTGCTTTACCAGATGTGAATGAGGAATACAAATAGCCGTGCGTAATTACGCAGCGCAGAGCCTGCCACAGCAATAGATGGGTCACACATCCCTGTTGCGTAAAGTGTATTTATATAGAGCCTTTCACTGTCCAGGATCACAAAGCGCTTCACATTTTAAAAACATACAGATCAAAATAATACACACACAAGTCAGATTTAATAGAGGGTCCTGATCATGAGCTGTGATTTATTCGAAGTTTGCGTGTTTCCATTAGACTTTTTCTGATGCGCAAATTCAAATTTTGAAACATGATCCTCAATGAAAACACAGCATATAATTTTGCCAGAGGGAATATGTTTATTGTTGTCCATATCTTGAATTTCATGCGTGTTTTGGCGTGTTGTGCCGAAGGTTGAGATCAGCGTATAGATTTACACCACCTCCAGACCTGGCTTATATTTTTTGCGTATTGTACGCTCACGTCCAGATAGATAAATGCGGAAAAGTGTAATATTTTGCATACGCCTCATTTACACCCTGATTTGACCGTACGCAGGTTTCATACATGAGGCCCACAGTGTGTCTCACACAGGCCTAGAGTTTACCTCATCAGTGCGAGGCGAGCCTGGCCTGACCGCGCTCTCCTCCTCTGGGACCTACGGGCCCGGGCCTCTGGCTACTCTACCTCACAAAGTTCACGCTGAACTGTCTTAAAACTAAAATGAAAAAGGCTGCTCTGTTGTGAATGTTTTGAGAGCGTTGTCAATCTTTAAGACGAGGAATAGCTGGTTGTTCTCGGGAACGAGCTTCACGCTGTGTGATATGATATTGGACAAAATTGTTCAGCCAATAAACAGGACTATATTTGAAGCAACGTAGGAACGTGATGACGCTCAGGGGGTTATATTTTCTTAAAACATTAGAACGCAACATTTAGGCTTTAGCAATAATTTGTGTTTAAAAATAAAAATATTTAAATTATGACTTTTAATAAAAAAGGCTAATGACTTGAGAGGCGAAGAACAAACTTGAGTAGGCCAAGAAAAAAACTGGTAGGCACCGGCCTACCCAGGCCTATCCCTGCCGCCGCGGCTGGCGCACAGGCTCTTCTGTCGATAGATTTCAGATAGAAATTGCTACTCAAAAGGCGCTCTTAGACGCTGCTGTTGTAGCGAGGGCTGACGCAGCCTCATGCCGCTCCCGATCTCGGCGGAGTTTTTGAAGTGTACAGTAACTCTACCGAATACAATTACTCAAAATGAGTATTCTAACAATTTGAAAGTTATACCAGTTATACCACTTACGTTGAAATAGCATTCAGTAGCGACACTTTTAAACATAAAACACATTCTCACGATATTGCTAATACAAATTTATGATGGGGGGAAAACTTTCTTTCTCCGTGTTTTACAAATATAATGGAGTTGGCTGATGAATGTCTGCTTAGTTTCTGAACTGTATTGAACTAGATTGACCAGGGCTCGACTCCACAGGAATGTCGAAAATCCAGTTCATCTTCACATATGCAAAACATCTTCACATAGCCTATCACTCAGGCGAGCAAAAACCGAGCACGTTTTCTCCAGTGTTAAATAAAAAATACTTAGTAATTAGGCCAACACATTTAAAATAGTTGCTAGACTGTAGTAAACTGTTGTAAACTTCACAATCTGCACCAACCAAACTGCAGGAAAAAAATTCAACTTTATTCAGTAACGGAGTAATCTCATTCATATACTCCCCCCGCTAATAAAATTTGAGGTTTGGCCGGGGCTCGAACCCCGATCATCCAAGCGAAAGTCTTGGACAATCCAGGCGCTGGAGAAAACACTGGATCTAATAGGAGAGACCGCTGAGTGAATGAGCCGTGGGTATGTGCGGGACGCTTAAAATGCCTTATATGCAAGTTAATGCAAATGTTTGCCATATGATCTGCTACTCCTGTGCATTTTAGAATTCCTAATTAATGGTAGATATATGTAACATGTGTAGTTGAAATTTTTGTAATTATACACAGCCTATATATTGCTAATCAAAGTAAAAGTATTCAGAATAAAGTGTACACTCGTGTTTGTTTTGTTCCAATGTTTCACGTTCAATAACGCACTTGCTGCTGGCTATCCCATACTGTAGAAGAAGTCAGAAAGGAACTTTTGAGAAGAAGTGTTTTTATTAAAAAATAAGAAGTAAAAATAAGTAATAAAGTAAAATACAATTGTATTGTTACAGTACTTACAATACAGTGCAGTAAGTTAGTACAGTGTTTTACAGAGTCAATCCTTTGACTTTAAACCGCGTTTTGATAGGCCCGAAGTGAGCAAAAAATCCTTTTGACAAGGAAAGAAGATAACAAGCTGATAACGTTACGTAATTGCACACAAGCAACCAAAAGGTGTGCAACCAAAATTGCCTCAGACAAGATTCCAACCCAGATCCCCCAGATCCTAACTTGCAACTCAAACCATTCGGCCAACATAGTATCACTAGGCAGATAACGTTTGCACGCAGACTTATACCTGAGCGTTTAAGTCGCTGGCAGAGCTAAAGCGGACTTAACCTGCCACCTTGTGGCGATAAGATGTAATATGTTTCACGCAGCTGCGTGATTCATGAAAAGCGTGAGTGAAGACGACAAAACGAAATGGGACAGGCAAGGGGAGAAAATGCAAACTCCACTCAGAAAGACCCCATTCGGACCGGGATTCGAACCTAGGACCTTCTTGCTGAGAGGCAAGAGTGCTATAGGCAGATGCAAATCCATCTACATATTCTCATTAGAGTAACTAATTTTAGTAGAACTTAACCATTACATTAGCAGCATGGAACCGACTTATTCTTCTAACTTATGTTACCATTTTTTTCTGTATGTCATTTAGAGGACCTAGCTTTCATTGAAAGTAATTTTATGCCATGAGTTGATAGGACATAAATTAAATGGCTTGATGATAATGAAGTGATAATTTCTCTTAATTGTTACTGTGCTTGGAGATGTACAAAATATACGCATAAAGCATCAGCAATATTATGTTTTGAGCCCCGCTGGAGCCAAACCACCATTTAGCTAGATTGAATACTGTAATTTTGCAATAAAAGCAATGAAAATCTATTGTGATAATAACCAAACAGAGGCATGAGAAACATTTCCCTGTCGCTGTGAGGTGGTCATTTTTCACTAACAATGAGCCTCTCTTGTGTCTCTGTCAATGGTCTAAAACTATAAGCCTGGTTCCCAAACTGAGCCCAGGAGAGGTCCGGCCTGCAGCCTGACTGATTGGACCTGCCAGCCTCAAAACAGCTGATTGGATTTGGCTTCGTTCAGGTCTGTGCTTCCTCAAAGTGAACTTAGACCGGTTTGTCCGCTGAGACAGGAGGCCCAATAAAGTCCCCACTTTAGTATAGGCCTTTAGCTGCCTTCTCTTATTCAATTGCATTTAAATGTCACAGTGAGAAAAGTGGAAAGCACACACACAGAGGCTTTATGCAAAGAGGAAGAACATAATTTGAAAACTTATATACAAAGTATATTGCTTATTGGGTGTTTTGTTATATTTTAAAAAATCACAAACTACTTTAAAGTGTATAATTTACATTTCTTGTCAATCAATCAATTAGATGTTATTTATAATGCACTTTTCCTTAAAAAATACAACTCAAAGAAAAATACAACACTGAGGAATTGCCGTGCAAGGACAGGAGCCGTCGGAACCAGTAAAGAGCATGACACAGGACCAGAGGAGAGATGAAACTGAGACTCCAAACCAGGTCCATGAGTGAAATCCCCACAGCCCCCAGGTTTTATATGAAATACAGTATTTCTCTTTGCCGAGGGTACTTATTTATATTTAATAGTGTACCTATATTTTCCCACTTCCCTAAATAACGTTTAAGAAATCCCTTTTTTGAAAACTTTCTGTTATTATTTTGAGTTTTACTAGTCCATGTCTCATGGACTAGTGCATGGACAAATGGCAAATAAATGAATCTGATCTGAATCTGAATAGGATAGTATATATCATATATATACAGTGCAGACCAAAAATTTGGACACACCTTCTCATTTTTATTTTTTTTATTTTCATGACTATGAAAATGGTAGATTCACACTGAAGCAGGGACGTGCGGTGAGGTTTGTGATTGGGGAGGCACTGACTTTAAAAGTCAGATTTACAATCATTATTCAAATAAAATAGCATTTAATCACCAATGCAATGACATCCACAAACTTTATATACTGTAAAGATAAGAGAACCAGCTTCTTTTAATAATCTCACAACAAATCTAGCTGCTGACTCTGCTCCGCATCAAACAACATCTTTAAGAAGCGCAGGTGCGAGAGACGCGAGGAGAGAGAGACGCGAGGAGAGAGGAGCAGAGAGAGACAGAGAGGAGCAGAGAGAGACAGAGAGGAGCAGAGAGAGACAGAGAGGAGCAGAGAGACGGAGACGCGAGGAGAGAGAGACGCGAGGAGAGAGGAGCAGAGAGAGACAGAGAGGAGCAGAGAGACGGAGACGCGAGGAGCAGAGAGAGACGGAGACGCGAGGAGCAGAGAGAGACGGAGACGCGAGGAGAGAGAGACGCGAGGAGAGAGGAGCAGAGAGAGACAGAGAGGAGCAGAGAGACGGAGACGCGAGGAGCAGAGAGAGACAGAGAGGAGCAGAGAGACGGAGACGCGAGGAGCAGAGAGAGACGGAGACGCGAGGAGAGAGAGACGCGAGGAGAGAGAGACGCGAGGAACATAAACAATAATTTAAACAAGTTGCAGAACTCTTGAGCAGTGTTTGAATCAGTGTTTTTCGGAAAAGCACTACTTTGCCGGTATCTGTCAATGTTCAACATAAAACACAGATTAACAAACTCCTCCCCCGCAGCCGGACTAACCTCGTAAGTCCAGTGGTGGTCTCCCAGTCTATATTAATTCTTTCTTTGTTTGAAAGTCCAATTGAGAAAAAAAATCTTCATTCAAATCATCCATTTTCCAGCAAAAGAAATAGCATTTTGGGCTGATTGTTTGTTAGCAACTCTGGTATGAACTTTATGCTCACTATCACCCCTAGCGGTGAGGCACAGATACCGCCTGCCTCACGCCAAGCTTTTTCCTTGTGTGTTCATCTACGATCAAAAGACTTAAACTAAATATAAATTGTACACACATACGTGCAATACACTACTAAACACTAATGGTGCGTTCAGACCAAACGCGATTTCTGCGGCCAAAGCGGCGGGTCTACATTGACACAACATGGGGGACGCGCGCCAAGGAGCGGCGAGAGATCACGCGGCGCGATTCGCGCGGCCAGAGCGGCGCAAATTCGAGCGTTTCGCGTGGCGTGTTTTGAGATGTCAAGCGTTTTGACGCGCGTTTCGCGCGATTCGTGCCTCCAACGCGGCCGCCGCTAGAGTTGAACAATGTTGAACTTTTTGGGAGAATTCGCGTGTGCCGACCAATCAGGAGCTTTCTCCTCCAGTGACGTAGTGACGCATTTCACTACCGGAAAAACACTGGTAGATGACAGCTATGGAGGACACGTCAATTGCTCAGGTCGGTGCTCATTCTGAGCTATATAACACTGCGGACCACAGCTACCGGGACCGAAATAAAAAGAAGCTTGCTTGGAGGAGGGTTAGCGAGGTGGTTGGTGTCTCGGGTAAGTTATTTTAACTTTTCAATGTTGTAAATATTTCCCCGCGAAAAAAACTACTACTTTCCTGCTTACGAGTTGATGTGTTTATTCAGTGGAAGTTTGCAAAAAGCGGTGGAAGAATCTGAGGGACACATATGAGGTGCTGAAGGTCGGTGTCATGCAGCAAACGGAGACCTCGAACAGTTGGAAAAAATACATTTCTTTCCTTTCTATTACCCACATTTTGCTGACTTTTACATTTATATTGCTTTCTGTGTATGCATTTCTTTTAATGCTTTCTTAACATCATGGCCAGGTGAAAATAGGCATTGGCTATTTTCAAACCAGGATAGATCTTGATCATGTGTTGTGTTAAATTTCACTTTTCCCTTTTATATGAACAAATCATTTAAATGTACATAATAATGTACATTATTATGTACATATAAATGTCATAAGCGCAATGTACACATGATATGAAATAATTGTATTTCTTGTTTTCTTCTGGCGCAGATACTGCCACCACCACACAAGGTGAGACATCTTGGCCTGAGCTGCTGCTGCTGCTGCTGCTGCTTCCTCAGCCGGTTCTTCTTCTGTGAGGGCTGGACCTTCCCCTGCTTCTGCACCTACAGGTGTGGCTTTTTTTAATCATTGTTTTATTTTTATTCTTATTACAGGACTGTTCATATAAACAAAATGTTACTGCATAATATGCCAAAATTACCCAAGGGCTGTTACATCAGTGTAGACGACAAATTTACAGAGAAACGACAAGATGTCAAGGCACTACAGGTGGAAAGAAGCTTTGGTCTGATACAACACATCTTCCCTCTTTCTTTGATAAAAACATACTACTGAAATACCTTATGCTATAAAAGTACTGAACAAATACATGCAATGGTTGCCACAAGATGGCAGCTATCCTGTTTAATGCAGACAATAGAGTATTACTTTTTTACAGCCAATTTCAAATTTCATTGCGAAATACACTTCAGAGATATTAGTTTGTAACTGTCGAAATTTGTGCATGTGTGAGTAATTTCATTGATAACTGCAATGTTCAAGTTAATTGTAACAAACACACAACTTAAAAGTGTTTTACATGTGTTTAACTATGTCTACACACTCTGGCTTTAATACAGATATTATTTGCTCTCTTCATTTTGCTTTTTTGAAATACATGTTCCACTTTTTAACACTGTGATTGCCCTGTGTTCTTTGTTGGCGGCTCTACGGACGTGGGCCTCTTCCGAGCCCTCTTCCTTGGTGGGCCTTCAGAGTGGGAGCGGGAGCTGCTGGAGACTCTACGGACCAAAGCAGCCGGACCGCCCGACTACTCAGAAGAACATCAGTTCCTGCTCTCTCTCTTTCCTCTCCTGCAAAGGGTGGCACCAGAGTCAAAAGAATTTGTGAAATTCAAAATGTACCAACTTTTATATGAAAGCAGCACCGTTCTGCTTAATTTGGAACCATTGGCCAGTACAGTTTTTTTTACCTAAGGTAACACCTTTTGCAGGGGAGGAAACAGACATGTGTCCCTTTCCTCTTCCACCGCACCTCCTCCAAGCAAGCTCCTTTTCATTTGTTTATATGTACATTTCATTTATTTTTCATTGTTTGTTCCTTTTTTTATAAAGAAAATATTTTTCAAACCTCATGTGTTCTACTTCAAGCCAACCATTACTACCTTTCATATAATATTGACAGAAAATGCTATTCTATATTTGTACATTTACTTTTATAAGAGCTGACTGGGTTTTATAGAAGATGGAATAACAAACACTTAAAGAGCGATACAGTAGTTGACAGTATTTTTTATTCATTTCACCTTTTACTGTTTTAACAACCTTGTAATTATGGAAAAGCTTGAATGTGCATATGATTAACCTGAAGTTGGAGTGGAGTCGCAGTGGAGTCTGGCAGTCATTACCTAGAAACAGAAGGTATACAGGTGAATAGAATAGTGCAAATCAATATGGGTTTGGACTATGGCCAGATGTGGGTCAGTCTTGTGGTGGACATGACTACTCTGTGGGCTGCCACGGCAGTGCTCCCTCCTCACTGAAGTGGGCCATGAACACTTTCCTTATGTCCACTGCTGGCTTCCAGGCGGCCATCCGCTGCACGCCTGGAAGTGGTTCTTCACCGGCAGCAGCTCCCCTCGGTGCAGGAACCTGCCCATCTCCAGCCATCCTCATCCTCATCCTGGAGATGGGCAGGGCGCATTAAATTGCAGCGCAGTGAAAAGGCCTCATCTGCCACGAACACATGGGGCTGGGGTCCTCTGTGGTCAGCTCCAGGTATGCACTGGTCAGGAGGCAGGTCGAGTGTGCCCTCGCGCAGAGCCTCACCAAAGGCAGAGTTGGACACGATGCCTCCATCGCTGGATCTGCCGTACCCTCCCACATCAATCACCCTGAACCTGTACTGGGCATCCACTACAGCCAGGAGCACAAGGGAATGGTGCCCCTTATAATTAAAAAACATGGACCCAGAGTTGGGGGGTGCCTTCACAGCCACATGCTTCCCATCAATGGCCCCACAGCACAGAGGGAAGTTCCATCGGACCTCCACTCCTCTGCTCCAGGCACAGCCATGAACTCCTCCACGAGGCAGTCCCAGATGGCTGCCACCACATCTGGGATGAGCATGGAGACGGTGGATATGCCCGCTCTGAAGCTCCCCGCAATGGTCCTGTAGGAGTCCCCAGTGGCAAGAAACCTGCAATTACAAAATGATATGAACATATTTATCACAATTACATTCATAAAAATCACGTGACAAAACTTGTGTAGCATAAAATACGTTAAACTAGTAGACAGTAAACATCATAGACAGTAATCATAGACACCATATTGTTGCATAATACTGTTTTCTGAGCAATTACATTGTGGATTGTGATTGAAAAATGACACACTTTGTAAGTTTTTAGGAATTCTGAATGGGGTAAAAAACACTAACCGCAGACAGATGGACAGGCGCTCTTCAGCTGGAATAGAGCGCCTGTAGTTGGAGTCCTGGTAGGAGATCCTAGCGCCAATGCGGGTCAGTAGGTCGTCAAACTGGGCCAGGGAGAGACGAAAGTACCGCTGAAAGCGACCCTCATCCGAGCGCAGCTCCCGGAGCAAATGGTGAAACTCACCAAACTCCAACCGTCTACGGACTATCTGATGAATCCAGACACGTCGTCGATTCGCCCTTTGACGACGTGTCTGGCTTTATTTATCAGATAAAGCAACTCCTTCGCTGACATCCATGTTGGGAAGCTACAGGCAAAAGAGACAAGCCCCGCCCCTAAACGCTCTCAACGCTCTGTGACAGCGGCTGCCCTCTAGTGTCCTGGCCGCGCGGCCAAGTTTCTCTGTGACAGCGGCTGCCACAATTTGTCACAAGCGGCTCAAGCCGCGCGATAGACGCGATTTGGCCGCAGAAATCGCGTTTGGTCTGAACGCACCATAAGAGGAGTTTAAAAAATGTTTTTAAAGCAGGATATTTGAAACAAACGGTGATATATCAACTGCACGAGCTGAGTGCACTCAGACACACACACACACACTGTGAGGGAGCGGTCTGGGGTGAGGCACGCAGGAGCGCTGCCTCACCTCGTCTCTTTGAATAGGAATAACGGGATTTCGGCGATTTTGACTTCAGAAATGATCAAAACTGATGGGAACCGTGCCGAATATACATTAAAAGCATAGGACAGTGGATATAAATTATATATTTAAACTAAAATAATTATTAGTTTCCAATAATGGCAGGTGAGGCTCTGCCTCCCCTGCCTCCCCTGACTGCACGTCCCTGCACTGAAGGCATCAAAACTATGAATTAACTCATGTGGAATTATGTATGTACTTAAAAAAAAAATATGAAAGAACTGAAAATATGTTTATTATATTCTCGGTTCTTCAAAGTAGGCCTGGGTGTGACTCTACAGTCAATAGTCATGAAAAGAAAGGAAACACAAACACAAACACACACACACACATACCTTTCAGGCGGTTATCCCTCTCTAAGCTCGGGTCCTCTACCAGAAGCCTGGGAGCTTGAGGGTTCTGAGCAGTATCTTTGCTGTTCCTTGCACTGCACATTTCTGGATCGAGATTTCCGAGGTTGTTCCAGAGATCTGCTGTAACCACCCAGCTTCGGGGTCGCTGCCCCGAGTGCACCGATCACCACGGGCACCACTGTCACCTTTACCCTCCAGGCCCTCTCCAGCTCCTCTCTGAGGCCTTGGTACTTCTCAAAATGTTCATGTTCTTTTTTCCTGATGTTACCATCGCTTGGAATTGCCATGTCCACCACCACAGCTTTCTTCTGCCTTATGTCTACCACCACAATGTCAGGTTGGCTCGCCATTCGGTCGGTCTGTATCTGGAAGTCCCACAGGATCTTTGCACGCTCATTCTCATCACCATCCAGCCCATACTCTGCACAGATCTTTCTGTACACCAGGCCAGCCACTTGGTTATGGCGTTCCATGTAGGTCTTCCCTGCCAGCCTCCTGCACCCTGCAGTTATGTGTTGGATCGTCTCAGGTCCCTTTTTGCACAACCGACACCTTGGGTCTGGTGTGGTATATCTGGGCCTCTATCGCTCTGGTGCTCAGGACCTGCTCCTGTGCTCAGGACCTGCTCCTGTGCAGCCATGATGAGTGCCTCTGTGGAACTATTTTCTTCATATTACTTTTTTCCCCACAGACACTGCACTACAGAACCCCTCACATTCCTCAATGCGTTTGGATTTTAATACACCTAATTTTATGTGGTGCGACTCAGACAACCTTGCCACTATAAAGGGAACCCTTTTACTGCGTTTTCCATGCTGCCTACAATCCAATGCAATAATCTGGAAAAATACCCCAAAACACGGTTACAACTGAACATTTTTCAGGGGGATGAAATTTCCATGGTATGATGATAGTGACCAAAACGCCACTGTTGATATTCTGCAGAGTTGCGCATTTCATTACACTTAAACACAACAAGTGTAAACTGCACTGTGCACAGCGGAAGCCTCCCACTTTATTTACCTTGTATATTGTGATTTAGTGTCTTCAACCTTGCACATAGAGCAGCAATTAATGCCTACATTTGCAATGAACCATCATCAGTGTTTAAGATTTAACCATGGCCTGTGTTCATTCGTGATGCATTTGGAATTAGAGGCCACTTATCTGTGAAGGCCTCCCTCCAAGCTAACATCATATTTCCATTTAATGTGCGCTTCATCTGTTCCAGTGCTAATAGCAAGCCATTGATCTTGACCAGACGGCCCCGATACAAACTGTGCTAAAACAGTGTCAGGGATGGAGCTGGTGAAGTTTCCAAGGGCATTATTCACACTGAGCTGATGAACCATAAAAGTTTAGTTATTCTTGGAAAGCTCATGTTTAATGAATATCACTGCGCACACATTTTAATTGAATGTTTGTGAAGAGCTGTCATTTCCATTGCAGCAACATCAACAGCGCATCGCAGCGATTCGTCAAACAACAAGTTACCTTACAAACCCCCTCTTTCCTTGTTTCCATTCCTTGTGAGAATTGGAGACAGACATTCATAGATGTTTTGACCGCTTCTCCTTTTGTCTGCCCCAAAGGCACATAAAGCTATGGATGCTTTATTTTATTAGTTTGTAAAGAATTGAGACAAAAAAAATCACCACCCAGCAGCAAGGCCCAACATCTCCAGACAACAGTCAAATGATGCACACTGATGCATCTACTTGGCGAGGACATATTACCTCCCTATTTTGGTCAATACAGCCAAATTAGTTTCCCACAGTGCAAAAATATTGGAAAAGCAGGATTTAAGATGAGACTGCTGTCTGCATCACATTACAAAGCTTTTTATTCATTGAAAACCATGGAGTACTTTATTATTGTTTTGAGCATGGATCAACCCTGCTTCTGGCTCTGAGTTTAGTTAAGAAGACACACATCAAAGCTTAAACCCATTTCTTGGAGCCTGATAAACCTAACCTCTTAAACACTGTAACTACTAAATTGAATGGAGTGCCTTTCCTAAAAAGGAAGAGAAAGAAATACAAGCTGATCTATATTTCCGAAAGAGGTCAAAAATACATACAAGTGAAAACTAGTTCTAGAACCATACTATTTTCAGAGGAAATTTGAGATGGACTTTAATTACATAGTTTTTGAAAGCAAGGTTATCCCAGCTTTCTTGTATCAAATGACTACATTATATAAATAATTTGTAGAAAAAAAAGAACTAGAGACCTGTTGCATCATTGAGGTTACAAATTCCATTGAGAAGAACTATAATAGTAAATCTTGTTATGGTTTGTTTAGAGAGACTGTTGTCAGAAACAAGACTGACTTTTCTTTTCACTTTATACCGATCTGTCAAAACAGCATTTCTCTCACAGTCCACAACCAAAATCTCCTCCACAAAACCGGTGCTGCTTTCATCTGTTATTGCAGACAAGAATTACATTTTTCTTAAGCATTTCTCACCATCTCTCCTGGAGCTTGTCAGGTGTTCCCAGCCAGAGCCTGATCAATGTACTATAGATTTTAAAACAACTGGCTTTAGTCTAGCTACCGTTTAATTGCTGCCAGTCCTCACAAACCTCTCTGGGTTTTTAATTACTCTGATTGTCGCGTGAAATGCTTTGATTTTGAATATACCATATTTTTTTGCACTTCAAGGCACATTTAATTATTATTAAAATGCCTTTATTTTCATAAATATAAATATAACATAATCTAATAATATTAACATATACTATAACGATATAACAGCAAAGATGGCGCCTCGTACGGTCGGCACGGCTCTCTGCTGCTCTCTTTTTCTTTTGTTTTTACTTTTTAACTGCGCAGCTGGCTGTTCCTACACCCGTGAGGAACTTATGAACATCCGACCCACCGTCCCCATGGAGCTATTGCCTGTTTTCTTGGCATCTGCGGCTGATTTAGTTCATGTTCTAGCCAAAAAAGTGTGGGCCCGTAAATAGGGAAAGCGCGGAGGCCTGCTCGTGCGTCTGAGGAGGAGAGGAGCGCGCACGGCTCTCCCCGGCATTTTTCTCTCCAACGTACGCTCACTGGGCAATAAGATGGACGAACTCAGCCTGCTCATGAGAAGAAACAAGGACTTTGCCACATCCTGTGTCCTCTGCTTCACTGAGACCTGGCTAAATGAGCGGATCCCGGACTGCGCTCTGGAGCTGCAGGGCTTTGGGCTGTTCCGCGGGGATCGTCATTGTGCGCTCTCAGGGAAGAGCAGAGGCGGTGGGCTGTGTTTCTACGTCAATACAAACTGGTGTAACGATGTGACAGTGATCTCCAAGCACTGTTCTCCTGCTCTGGAATATCTTTTCATTCATTGTAAACCATTTTACTCCCCTCGTGAAATTGTTTAATTCATTCTTGCCTCTATTTACATACCGCCATGCGCGGACGCGCGCGAGGCTCAGCGCGCACTCGCAGAGCAAGTACTGTGTATGGAACGCTTATACCCGGACTCTCTGATTATTATCCTGGGGGATTTTAATAAGGGAAACTTGAGCCAGGAATTACCGAAATACAGACAGTTTATCAAATGCCCGACCAGAGAGGAGAACACTCTGGATCACTGTTACACCACCGTGCGCGGAGCTTTTCGCACTGTTCCCAAGCCAGCCCTCGGCTTCTCAGATCACTCCATGATACATCTGGTTCCTGCTTACAGACAGAGACTAAAGCTCTCGAAACCTGCAGTGAGGAGCTCCAAAGTGTGGTCTGATGAAGCTGTGGAAGAGCTGTGCGCATGAATGAAATCTACAGACTGGGACCTTTTCAGAGCTGCCACAGATAGTTTGGATGAATACACGGACACTGTGACGTCATACATTCACTTCTGTGAGGATAGCATCATTCCAACAAGGACCAGGGTCATCTATAACAATGACAAACCCTGGTTCACTGCTAAACTCCGGCAGCTCAGGAAAGCAAAGGAGTCTGCTTTCAGGGAGGGGGACCGCAGCGGCTACAAAGCAGCTAAATATCAGTTCAGGAAAAAACTGAAAGCAGCCAAGTCCCGGCACAGAGAACGACTACAGGAGCAGTTTGGTAACAACGATACTGCTTCTGTCTGGAGGAGCCTACGGGAGATCACCAACTACAAGCCCAAAGCCCCCCCCTGTGCTGACGACCACAAGCTAGCTGACGAACTGAACTTATTTTTCAGTCGCTTCGATGCTGCCCCTGACACCTCTCCCTCCCCCACCCCCCACTACTCTAACGACCCACCCATCAGCCCTGCCCCCAGCCTAACAATAGCCGCTAAAGAGATTAAACAACTCTTCTTGAGGCTGCACCCCCGCAAAGCTCCTGGCCCGGACCACGTATCTCCGGCCACTTTGAGATACTGCGCCAGTGAGCTTACTCCTGTGTTCACGGACATTTTCAACACCTCTCTGCAGTCCTGCCATGTCCCGGCCTGCTTCAAATCCTCCATCATTGTCCCCGTCCCGAAGAAGCCCAGGATCACAGGACTCAACGACTACAGACCTGTAGCACTTACGTCTGTCGTCATGAAGTCATTTGAACGCCTGGTTCTCTCCCATCTCAAGTCCTTCACCTCCCCCCTCCTGGACCCCCTGCAGTTCGCCTACAGAGCCAACAGATCTGTAGACGACGCCATTAACCTGGCCCTCCACCACATCCTACAGCACCTGGACTCCCCGGGGACCTACGCCAGGGTCCTGTTTGTGGACTTCACCTCTGCCTTCAACACAATCCTGCCATCCCTGCTCCAGGACAAGCTCTCCCAGCTCAACGATTCAGCCCGATTCCACCTGCAGGTGGATCACTGACTTCCTGACGGACAGGAAGCAGCGAGTGTGTCTGGGGAAGAATGTCTCGGACTCTCGGATTATAAATACAGGAGCCCCACAGGGCTGTGTTCTTTCTCCCCTGCTCTTCTCCCTGTACACCAACCACTGCACCTCCAGCCACGACTCCGTGAAGCTGATCAAGTTTGCGGACGACACCACCCTCATTGGACTCATCTCCAACAACGATGAGTCCGCCTACAGGAGGGAGGTGGACTGGCTGGTGTCCTAGTGCAGTGGTAACAACCTGGAGCTGAACGCCCAGAAGACAGTGGAGATGATTGTGGACTTCAGGAAGAGCACTGTCCCCCCGCCCCCACCCTCCGTGATGGACTCCCCCATCACCTCTGTGGAGTCTTTCCGTTTCCTGGGCACCACCATCACCCAGGACCTCAAGTGGGAGCCGACCATCAGCTCCCTCATCAAGAAGGCCCAGCAGAGGATGTACTTCCTGCGGCAGCTCAGGAAAGCCAAGCTGCCTGCACAGATGTTGGTGCACTTCTACACGGCTATCATCGAGTCCATCCTCACCTCCTCCATCACCTCCTCCGTCACCGTGTGGTTCGCTGGAGCCACAGTCAGGGACAAACAGAGACTACAGCGCATTGTGCGCTCTGCAGAGGAAGTGATCGGCCGCAGCCTTCCATCGCTGCAGGACCTGTACGTCGCCCGAGCTCGAGGCCGGGCTGGTCGTATCACAGCCGACCCCTCTCACCCTGCACATGGACTATTCCAACCACTCCCCTCAGGCAGGAGGCTGCGGTCCATCAGGACTAGAACCTCCCGCCACAAGAACAGTTTCTTCCCCTCTGCTGTTGGATTCTTGAACACTTCTTAACCTGTCCCCCCGCCCTTTATAAAGTCACTTTACTGCCCATCATACGTCACTTTACTTCACTGTACTGCTGTCACCTTACATTTTGTGCACCATGTGCACTTGTATATTGTAAATAGTAACTAACTCTATTTTAAATTTAAATGTATTCTTTAGAAGTGTTTTTTATTCTTATTTTTATTATCTCTTTCTGACTGTTGCACTGAGCCAAAGCAATTTCCAAGTCTGTGACCTCCTGTTACTTACGTGGCAATAAAAATGATTCTAATTCTGATTCTGAAATAAGAAGCACCAGGTTATAAGGCGCATGGTTGAAATTAAAAGCTTTTATGTGCGCCTAATAGTGCAAAAAATACGGTAAATCAAATCAGACCCAGACCCAAACAGCTGCTTTGGTGGCTTAACGAAGGTTTATTACATCTTTCATCCATAAAGTCATATTGTCATTCATTATGGTGCTATGTTAAGACAACAAAACTAAGTGGATAAGTCTTCCTGTACTCTACAGTTCATCACTCTCTTATTTCTGTATTGAAATATGGTACATGTCTGTGCATAGGCTGGGGGCAGAGAAATAATCTCAAGGTTAAGATTGCTTTACCATCTATAAAAGGCAAAATGAAATCATACATTTTGCATTAGCTTGTGTGGTCCACAGCCCCTGACAGCTTATTCACTGGTACAAGGGCATTTGAAGAGAAGGCTACCATGTGCAGTCAGATGACCTCTCATGATGTTTAAGTTTCTATTTCAAGGCAATGTTTGCATTTAAATGACCAAATATATATTTTATCTTTTGCACAAATCTCAGCATTTTGTATGTCTTGCACATCTTAACAATAATGATAGCTTACCACTGTTATAGTTTTCCTTGCCCAGAATCCATGAA